TTCCTAAATTATTAAAACTCCCTGTAGGATCGATACTTGGACTTAAAGCGAGAAAACTACAATTCTACCACTTATACTTGGGTGTATAATATAAATATCAGATCACGAAATAGGTTGGATAACATAGAGTGATGGTTTTGAGAATGAAAATCATGTTTTCAACTCTACTAGGAGAATTAGAACGCTTGAGCGACCCTAGAGGGCAAGCTCTATTCTCCTCCATTTTCTTTTTTTCTTTTCCCTTTTCCTCCCTAAGTTCTAAAGAGACTACTCTAGTGAAGGCTAACAAGCATAGGGTGGTCCCTGCTTGTTTTTTAACCCTAAAACCAAGCAAATATTTTTTCCCTCTTGAGCACTAAAGGGTGTTGTTAAGGGGGGATCCAATAATGGTTCAAACTATGTTTTCAAAAACACAGAAAAGGAGCCATACATGGATTAGATCAGATTCCATTTAACCCTATTCCTCCTAAGTTAACTACAGAGGGATTATCTTAGATATCTAGGTCATTACCTTTGTCCTATGCTTGAAGGTGTATTCGGAGTGTAACTGATGTAGCTTTGTTGAGTTGGTACATTGGGAGCACTAGACACTCTAATGGTGCATGTGGGCATGTCCTGTGTCCAAAAGCCCTTTGGTCTATCCCAAAAGTTCTGTATCAACCATATGAAGGTCCCGATAAAATTTGAGACCATTATGATACTCGAAACTATACGTGGTGTGAAATATTTATTTTGCCCTCTAGAGTCAATTTGACCTACTTTTTTAGGGATTTTGACCAACCAATTTTACACTAATGTTAAATAGTTATTTATAGTATGTGTATGAAGTTTCATAAAAAAAAATAACATTATTTCATTTTTGGCAGTTTCAAGACATGTTCTGCAATTGGTAGGGTTTCCCAATTTTAGATAAGACGATACATTTCAAACCTATTTTTAAATTACCCAATATGTTATTTATGATGCTTTAGTATTTTTTATTATATGATTGGATGTTTTAAATGTTGACTTGGAATCCAAACACTATTTTGGAATTGTGGAGTGCGGTTGGCACTAATGTTCGTATTGTTGATATTGATTATATCTTTTTAATTGATCGAAAATCTGGAATCCTTTTCAATTAAGTGTAAGTGCACAATGGATGAGTGGCAAAGGGTTTACAATCTAGGTTGAGGTCATAGAGGTTTTCTCGTTTAGTTTGTAAATACCGAGGTCGCCCTATTGGTCTTTGGACTTGGGTACCTAATTAATTCATGCAGCATATCTTCGTTGGGGTGGAAGTCCCCTAAAAGGTTATATTTTTTATGTCCCTGATTGGTCTGATAGGATGATAGCTTGACGGTGTGGCATTGTATTGATATTATTGTTCTGTTCTATCTGATTCTTATTTGATTATTATTTCACATGAAATAACGTTGTTTTGGTTATAATTATGCATCAAATGTTTGTTTTTCTACTTCCCAATCATGTCAAATTATGTTATTTGTAAACTCGCTTGCTTATTAAGTTTCTCTACTAAGCTATTGATACTCAACCTATATTGTTTTTCATTTTTCAGATTGACTGAGTACAAGCGCACCTATTTATATGGGGACTACTAATGTAGATAGTATTTTAATATTATTACTATTTAGTACAATTAGTCAGTTAAGCATGTAATAAAAATACTAACCTATATTCAGGTGTACATGGATGTAAATCATAGTATCAAAAGGTGTACTTCTATAATCACTTGGGTTGTATATGTGTTAGTTTTACAATGCTATATTACCTGCTTAGTGGGTTGGCTTGTTAGGCTACCTTAATTAGTAAATTAACAATTAATGCATCTGCAGGAGTAAGGTCCGATAGTCTGGTATTAGAGCAAATGGTTTAGGTCTCACATAGGTTATTATTACTTACTTGTTTATTAGTTGTTGATTATCATGTGGTTTTATAGGAAAATGTCAGTTTGGGACGATCTACATTTTGATATTTAGGAATGGGATCACAGTTCGATGGTGAAATCTAATGAAGAGATGGTTATTAAGGAATCAGTGAAGATGCTTTGGATCATATTCTAGAAGTCGCTAGGACTTGGCTTTTCTTACCTCCTAGAGAGCAAAAGATATTTGTGCATAATCGGATGACTGGGTTTGTCAGGATGACAAATAGGGTGGTGATTGTGGTTAAAAAATGAGGATTACTATCAAATGTTGTTACTAGAGTTGGTTGTGCAACAAGTAGGGTGTTGGCTCTCTATTTGGGCTGGACTGACTAGGTAGTAGGGTACTAAGGGGGATAGGACACGGGTGACGAACTCATGGGAAGTAGATCATATGTGTGGACATGGTAACTGTTCGGAAGATCTACTATAAGGTCCGGATACAAAGGAGGATCACTGAGGATGGTAACTTAAGAACCAAAAACTAACCTATGTGCATTGTATATAGGGTGTGAGTAACTTAATAGGGTTGTGTGTGCAAGATATAACAATAAAAGTATTGGTTGTATCATATAGATGTCAAATTATTTTGAGTGATTGAGAATCTGACCATGTGTAGTAAGCCTATTAATTTTTGCTATAAAAGTGATATGATGCTTTGGTTTATGAGATGTTTATGTTTTGGTATAGTGATTAATACAAGTATTTGATGGTTACATTATTTATTGGTGAGTGTTGATGTTTGAATTGGTGATTGGTAGTGAACCTAAGGAAATGACACCTTGGGATAATATGTACAATGTCCAAAAGTTTGGGGGGCATGAGGAATACGTGAGAAGTATGTGGATCAAATTGATGGCAGATGGTTTGGGAAGAGATGTACAGGTAACGTAGGAGGTGGCTCAAAATTATAAGGTGTTAAATCTAGCACAACTACGGAGGATATTGCACCATAGGTTTGATGCGGAGTTAAAAGTAAGTCATCAGGCGATTGAGACTAAAAGGATCAAGAGATCCGGTAGGGTTAGTGCAATTGGCGTAGCAGATGCAAAATTGATGGATTTAGACAAATGCGAAAAAGTTAGTGGCAAAACCAGAGGTGGATTCAGACACATCTATTATTGCAGATGTAGGGGATTGAAGGGTAAAAGGGTGTATTTGTGTGGATTGAGGATAAAGGATATGTGTAGGGGATGTTTTATAATGTATATGCATATAAATATTCGTGTCAATGTATAAAGTGTAGCAATGGGTTATGTGAATTTAATAGTATTACTAAGAGTTGTGTTCAATTATATCAATTTGAGTATTGTGGGTCAACTAAGGTTGTAATGTTTAATAGTCAAGAATTTTGATACTTAAGTTTGATTTTTATGGTGCATGATTAGGAGTTGATTATATATTATTGGTGATTTTGCTAGAACCATGCTGAATCCAAGAACTAGAAAAGAAAAGTGAGTAGGCACATCCGCAGGGAATAATGTGGAGTAAGAGGAAGCTCAGAACAATACTGCTGAACACGGACAAGGAGGGTTAGAACAACTGTATCAATGTTTAACTACACTTATGACACTTATTCAAACTCAACTACCTGGATTAGCAAGGAACATGGGAAATATTTGTAGACAACAACCCTTACCTAATGTATCAGAGGAAAATGTTGGGGGATGATTAATACCAAATCAAGGTGATGTTGGTTATAGGCATATGGTAATTTTGAAGGAATTTCTAAAACAATGATCACTAGCATTTAAAGGAACTACCGAACCACTAGAGGTAGAAAAGTGGCTAAGACAGGTAAAAAGAAGTAATGGATGCAACGAGAATATGATAGGAATTTCATGTAAACTTAGCTACTTATCTATTTGTGGGGGAAGCAAATCAATGGTGGGATCTGATTAAAGGAAGAGAGCCACTAGAAGGAATGACATGGGAGAGGTTTGAAACAATATTTATTGGTATGTATTTCATCAAAATTGTACGAGATAATCTATTATTAGATTCCTTGAATCTGCAACAAGGTGGTATGACAGTAGCTCAATATGAGGCACGTACGTCAAACCCTGACCGTACGCGTTGGGACTAACTCATTCTTATCATTTTTCACTACTGTGACACTCGATTTCTTAGGTACTACTTGGGTAGGGCTTACCCGTTTACTGTTAGAGATGGGGTAAATGACACTCACATCTAGCAACTTAAGTACTTCTACCCTTACAACCTCTTTGAGATGTAGATTTAACCTTTGCTGCGGTTGATAAAAGTGTTTTGAGTCCTCCTCCAAGTATATATAGTGAGTACATAAAACATGGTTTAATCCCTATAGTCCATCCAATTTCACTTTAATGATTTTTAATGACTTTCATCAACTCTAATTCTTGTCACTCGGAAGAAATCACCACTAGATAAGTTTATTCCACCCCCAAGAAAACATATTTCAAGTCAGTCGAGAGAAGTTTCAACTTGGATTTTGGTGTTTGTGACATTTGATGAGACAGGCTTTATTCTACTTGGTGATAACTCGTCAAATTTTGGGACCCATGTGTTGGCCCAAAATGCAACCTAAGAGGGGGTGAATTAGGTTTCTCAACTAATTTCCAAAAATTCTTGGACTCAAAACCTTTAGAAATTGATAAATGTGAGTTGCTATATGTTGATTGGATGATATATGAGTAATGGTGTGTGTATATGTGTTAAATAAAGTAGAGAGAGAGGGAGGATGCAAACACTAGAATGTATAAAGGATCGGCCCCAACACTTGGCCTATGTCCCAACAACTTTTCTCTTCCTTAAGTACAATACAAATATCACTCTTTGTAAGCTTCACTCTAGAAAAAAAATTTACCACACTCTCACTTTTTTTTTACAATAAGATTCTCTCAATATAAGCAATAAGACAAGAAGAGTGTATATACAAGCTTACACACAAGCAAACAATTTTGATCACTCTCTCTTTTTGACTTCTAGCTTATCGATACAAAGTTGCAAAAGTTCTCTCAAATGCATTAAAAGACCCATATTTGTACTTGGACTCAAACCCTTTGAATTACTTCAAAAATTCTAGTTGTTAATGTGCCTAATGATCTTCAACCGGTATACCAGTTCCCATTCGACATACCGGATCAACAACAGTCAAGGCATAAGCCAAGGCAAGACTTCTGCTGGATGGTAAACCTATATGCTGGATGTTTGGAGAAGCTTCCAGATCCATCAAAGCAAGGAGATGTTGTAAGTTGTTGAGGCTGTCAGTTCCCATCCGGCCTAGCACTTCACTGAACTGGGATACTGGGTCACTTGCATACCCTGTCGATTCAACCTTCCCTACCAAAACTTCTGTGATCTTCTAGGGATGCCAGTTCCACATCCAGTATGCTAGATGCCATGTGGTGCCTTCAGGTTCAGCTTTGCACTTTGTCCCTTCTACACTTCTAGGCTTGCACATCCCTTTCTTTTATTCAATTAACTATGCATCTAATTTTCACATTAGATCATAATGAAGATGCTTTTATCATCATCAAAACCATTCTTAAATAAGCAATGGGTCAACATTCTCCCTCTTTTTGATGATACTAAAACATCTACAATCTCAAAAACATAAATTTTCCAACATGCTAAGCAATAATATTTCATTTAACATGTATATGCTCCCCCTATGTTTATGCATACATCTAAAAGCATTTTGAGGTCATTGAGTGAGACTCTCCCTCAACTTATGGGCATATCAAACATGGTTTTCTCCCAAAATGTTTTGAAAAGTTTTGTTTTGAGTACAATTATTGTGTATGTGTGTATGTTCTCTCCTTTGAAAGTGTAGTATCAAACAATGATAAATATTGACACACATACACATATTTCTCCCCCTTTGGCATCTTCAAAATGAAGATACGCATAGCTTGCAATCACTTGCCAAAGGTAGGAACATAATGCATAAAAATATGATACATATGTAGCATTTACTTTTGTTTATGCCTATTCCTAATGTCAATTATATAAATGAAAGGCAATAGATGGTGTGTAAGGTCAAAATATCTTCATCATGATCAAAATAATTAAGCATAAAGATCATTTAAGCATAAAAAAGGAACAACATCCATGTTAGAGTAAAAATAAGATCATTTAACATATTTGTAGTCACAAAGATTTCCAAGAGCACAGTTCCAAACTCTCAAAAAGACTTTAAGAGTCTTTCTAAGCTGTAGACCTCACTACTAACTATGACTAATGATCCATGACCCTTTAGAAACCCTTGTCCATGAATGCATCATCAGCTCGATCATCAGGACAATAAACACTTCAGAAGGTGGTGGTAGAGGAGGAGGTGGTGTTCCAAATCTCTTCTAGAGAAAGCTCATCATGTCATCAAGCTTAGTGTGCAAGCCTGCCACACTAGTAGCGAGGATCACCACTGACCTACTTAGGCTGCAAAACTCCTCATAGGTAACATGTCGAGGTCTTGATGCACCCTCATCTCGTATAGCCGCATCATCAAAGTCTTGAATCTCCATACTGTGGGAGGGATTCTCTTATTCCCTTTCCATCATTTCCTGAGTTTCACATTAGTTGAGTAAGGGAGATAGAAGCAAAAGAAAGAGCTGAGAATGTGGATGTGCAAGAGGGTGTGGAAATCTTGGGATATTTCGGGTCTTGTTGAGTGCGCAAGGCAATCTATTCCATCCTAATCTATTAGGGGTGAAAAATATGCTTGGAAAGAGCAAAATGAGTTACTTGCCAAGATTGCATATCTGTCAAGGAAAGTGGAAAACTTAGAGGGCAAGAAGGTGAAAAAGGTGGTGAGTGTGCCACAAGAGGATCCTTGCACTTTATGTGAGTCGGTTCAGCATTCTGTTAAGGAGTGCCTATCCATATCAGCCTTTAAAGAGGTGCTCCATGAGCAGTTGAATGCCTTTAATCAGTCAAGGCAACAAAATTCTCCTTATTCTAACACATACAATCCAGGTTGGCATAGCCATCCAAATTTTAGTTTGAAAAATTATACGTTAACTTCACGTTCTACTTCTATGTCTTATGCCCCTTCTAAACAACAAGTATTTGGTCCTAGTCATTCTTTAGGTCCCCATTCTATGCACCCACCACCACAAAGGTTTGTTCAAAATCCACCTTCACAAGGGGTTGCTCCCCAAGGACAACCTGTTGTACCTCATTACTAGCCCCCACACAAACGAAGTCTTAAGGATGTCTTTGTATCATTTCATCCAAAATCAGACTACCATTAACAAACAAATTACCCAAAATTTAAATGATATAAGAAATCAAATGACCAAGTTGATCAATGATATGGGTGTGCTTCTGCTTGACTTCAAAAAGGTGCACCCAAGTGTAGTAATAAACTCGATAATCCGAGGTCGATCCTCAGAGAAATGGGTTTGGAATTTGGAAGGTAAAAAGAAAGAACAATGAAAAGGAATTGGGTTTAAGTGATTCAAATAGATTTAAAGGAATTTGTTATGAAAGAAGAGTATTCTCTAGCTTCGAGTTAGATACTTTATGTCATATTCATTTATGCAATTAAATCAAATGTCATATTTATGCAATTATATTCATTTAAATCAAATGTCATATTTATGCAATTATATTGTTATTCTTCCATCCTCAGTGTAATCAACTGGAAAATATAGCTTTGAAAACCAGATTTTGATTGAAAAGAAAATAAGAACTCAAGAACTAGTATTGTAAAATCACAAGGAATTATAAGTATTAACCATACCAAGAAGCCAATCTTGATAATGATTAATTAAATAAGTTTACAAAGTACATTACTTTGGTAAAAATCATTCATTTAATCTAGAAATATTTGGAAAGATAAATCATTCAATAACAAGAAAATTTAGTTGCATTCTTATAATATTCAAAGCACAATCATGAAAACCACACCCTAGCTAGACGATACGAAGAGGATTAATACTAGCCATGGGCAAGATCTTTACTAAAAATAAGTAAGAGGTTGAAAGAAAATCTAGGAAGAGATCCTCCAAAAGGTTAACTCCCCCTTTATTTATACATGTTCCCCTAAATAAAGACATTTGGATTTTAAAATAAACGCTAGGGTTGAACACCTTTCCCATCAGAGGAGGCGTGTTCGAACAGCTGGGCTCTGTTCGAATGGAGCCAGCATAACACCACACATTCAGATGGCGGAGCTGTATTCGGACGGAGGTACATATCGTCAAATGCATCATTCAAACAGACCCCTTGCGTTCAAATGGTTAAAACCCATAGGAATATGATCCCTTAGCTTCGGCATTCGAATGATGGTACTCCATATCATAACATGGCATTCGAACGGTCCATCTCTGTTCGAACGGTTGAATCTCTCTAGATTTCTTCACTTTTCTCCTCGTTAAACTTCCTTGCATTCCAATGGTTGGGCTCTGTTCAAATGGTGCCCTTTTGTCCAGCGTTCTGACTTTCCTCCAATCACTTCGGAGGTAAATATTCTTTAATCTTCGTATCAACCTTTTATTACACTTTTCTCTCCCTTGACTTTACTTTATTCTCCTTTTAACTAGTCATTTCACTAAATCACTTGTCTCACCTCATTTTAACTGAAAATCATCAAAACATTATAAATCACATTAAAGTATCATATCAAAGAATAATTAATCTAATAGCTCATAAATAATGAAATTCGCCATGATTAATAGATAAAGAAATAACATTTTTCTTGACGAATCACACCCCTAACCTACATCTTACTAGTCCCTAGTAAAGATCAAAATCCTAAACATAAACAAAATAAAATGGAATAACAAACATCCACTTTCGTATGACTCACAATTTTATTTAGCATATGCAATAAGCCTTTAAAATTCTAGGTTTCCCTAGTGGAAGAGTTATATTCTTGTGAAGATTTTCAGTGAAAATACCTACAAGCTTTCATTAATTTGTCTATTGCTTTCAATTCATCATATAACTCAGTCAATAATCAAACACCAGATATAAATAAAAAATATGAACGAGTGCATTTCAAGTAAAATCATAGAATTACAGATTATGCTTCAATATTTACAAATTTCATTCCTAATGATTCACATGTGTAGTGTGCAAATGACCAAACAAGAGTAGAGAGTCAATAACAAATACATTACCTCTCCACTATCCACTGCTAGCTTTAAACCAATCCTCAATCAAGTTATGCTCTCAAAAGTAAAACCACTCAGGTTTTATTGGCTGATTTTTTTTAGATTTTTCATATGTGACCAGAATTATTGTTAGAACAAAACAAAGTATATCTCACATAGGATTATAACCAATGAACACGATCAATGAAGGGACATTAGCATAGTCCGATGACCAGAAAACAACACACAACATTCAAAACAAATATTATCCTCCTCCTCATCCATACAAGTCATGCATCACTAACAACTCTTGTTATCAATTAAGCCTTTATTTAAGATTGTATCATGGCCTTGGGTCATGGATTAAGAAACAAATGAAAATAAGAGTTCAAAAGATTACACTGAGAAAACTTCGAATCCCACTATTTCTTGAAATATACTTTCAGAAACTCTCCTTACAAGCTTCAACACTTACTTGTGAATGCATATTATCTTTTCTTTTTTCTTTTTTCTTTTTTCTTCCTCTTCATTCTTTTTCAAAAAAAAATTATATTTTTTCAACAAGAAAATACACCTTCAATAAGTCAAACACTTTCAATCTCCCAAGTGTATGAATTATACCCCCTTTCTATTTCACCTAGTGCCAACCACATAATCCCTTGCATATACATGACTCTTGAGATATGCTTGGTTATTATATATGGGTAAACGAATTTTCAAAAGGCTTAATCATAGCTTTTAAGGATAATAAAATTTCAACAACTAAGGGTAAGGCTCAAAATAAATCAAACATGGCCTAAAATCACATCTCAAGAGTTTCAGCAACACACTTCCTATGAAAATAACTGTGACGCCCCAAAATCCGGGGGTCCCGTTGACCACCTGTCAACCCGCGAAAATACCCATGGTGGTCGCATAACCCGACATCACGTCTAGCACATCACTCTAACCGGGATTACAACCCAAACGAGGATTCGTGTCTCCTTTAATTCATTTAATCCCATCGAGGTTCAACAAATCCCAATGTATCTCATTTAAGGTCCATTTGTGTCATTGAAACCAAAGAACACATAGCCCAAAAGTATGGCAATGCATTTTCTTAAAATTTCAGGTTTTTGGAAAACCTTCTGGAAGGTTTTACTCACTGGAAAAGTTCTTCTGGAAGATTTTATAGACCTTCCGGAAGGTTTTGTCTACTGGATAACAATTTACATTAATCTTCCG